GTAGTTTTTAGTTCATGAATAAATTAGGCAGGATAGTTGGTGCAGGGAAGCTCTGAAATAACCTACCAGAATTGTTTCTGAACAGTAAGAATTCAAATTATGTTGAATTCTTAAGTAAACCGAGTTTTATTAAAAGGATAAAAGCTATCCAGCTTTATTTTGCTAGTGTAATTTTCTCCTAATTTTGATAGTTACTGCATTCTGGGAGGGTTTAATGAGAACTGAAGATAGTAGGAAGGTATGGCAGTAGTAGTATGGGATGTAAGAGAAAAGACAAAGATATTATTACAGTAACTCAGATATTCCAGATTACACAAAATTGGCTGTGAACAAGTGGCACCAAATTTGGCCAGGCTTACGCCTCTGCAGCAGGGGGGTTTTGTGCTCTCTGCAAGATAACTGTAGAAGTAATGGGGTTGTCCCATTACTGTGCCCTCCTTTTCTTCTGTTCCTCCCTGAGATACCTGAATTTGTCTGGTTATATACCTGAGTCTGTTTATCACAAGGAGTCATCAACCTCCTTTTCATGGTACTCAAACCACCAGAGACAATGTGTTGTTACACAGCCCTTGCATTTGTGTGTCCATAGGGATGTGCAGGGCTCTCGAATTGAAATGGTTTGTGGCACTCACCTAAAAGAATGCTCCAAAGAAATGATCTTTACCTAGTTGTGACTATGTGGTAAAGAGCTAACGTGCTTTAGAAGATTTCTCCTGCTCTGTGGTATGCAGCCAGTGGTTCAGTGCTGCGTTGTTAGGGGTTGGTGTTTTGAAAAATTTCAAACAAACTAATGGTTGTGTTGCTCAGGTCACAAGACTTGTGAGCAATGCATTCAGGGTACCAGAAGTCTCAGTGTTTGCATAGTACTGTGAAACTGAAAACCACTCTTCTTCCATCCTTAGCTGGAAATCAGGAAGGTTACTGACATCCCTGCCATGCACCCAGGGTTCTTTTATTCAGCATACCCCTTTTTGTGATGATGTGGAGACACTGAGACAGGTCTGTGCATCTTGGCCTTGCCAGCACCCAACTTTGTCCCTTTGAACACACTTAAGCCATATCATTTCCTGCTGCACCTGCTGCTAATTGTAGCCTCAATGGGTTGCACTGCTGCCAAGTTAGCAAGTCTTCACAAATCAATTTGAAAGCAGCCTTACTCCACTTAGGAACTTAGCAGCTAATCACTGCTGCTCATTTCTGCTCTCTGAAGGGCCACTTGAAGGGCAGATTATTCTGCAGCAAGCATTCATTCACTGAGTTATGACCAGACGCTGGTGTAATTGAGCTGAGCTCTGTGGAATAACGCAGATGAAACACTACAGCAGACTATTTTTATACTATGTTCATCTTGCGTTTGCAACAAGAACTTGTTTGCAGCCTGAGAGGTTATTTTTTAAATTAAAAGAAGAGGGGGAGCACCAGTGATATGTGGTAAAAGCAGTGCATTGCCATCTATTATGTTACAGCTCTGATCTCCTCGTGTTAGGTGGCTCAGCAGTTCAGATCTACATTTGCATGGTAATTTGCAATGCTGATCTGGCTTCATAGTGGTGCTCTTCTATCAAGTTATGTTACACTTCTGTTTCCATGAAACTGTTGATGCCATAGTAGTTTCTAGATTTATCTGCTTCCTATTTATAGCTGAGGCCCCTCTCCTCTCCTGCCTGGGCTTTGCAGCCTTACAACTGCAGTAGTACATGAAGTAACAAGCTTAACTGCCTCTTGTAGCACCCTGAGGGAACTATTGCTGATGCTGTTAATTTAAGGGAAAAAGCCCCAGCCATCCAACCCCCAAACCAAATAACTTCAAATTTGCCTAACTGTGAATGTATTTTGTTAATTTGTAGATTTTATACCCATTTATGGTGATTTTGCGTTTTCTTATTAAACTTGCTCTAGTGGCATAGTATGCTGAGTGTTGTGTATGAAGTGATGGACATAGTGCATTGTCCAGTGAGAAATGTGATTTTTAATTTAAGGTGCCTCTAGGAATTCCTGTAGTAAAGTAAAGTGCTGGTGTAGTGATGACATTGTATAATAACAATAGTATGTAACAGTGGTACAGATGGCTTGTAAAGTATTACAGGGCAGAATACACATACAACACAGTAGTGTGGCATTTCAGCAGGTGCCAGATCATTGTTGCAAGGGATATTGTAATAATTTGGAAAATAAAGGTAATTATTCTTAGAAACTGACAAGCTGTATCTGTTGTAGAAAATTGTTATTGTTCTTGAAGAAAGCAGAAGTGATACTTAACTTTCAATAAAGTTGTACTGAACTTCAGACTTCATCTGTCTTAGTTAGAGATACATAAACAAACGTGGCTACTTTCTAGTATAACCTAAGTCACTTAAAATGAAAAATACAGTAGTACCACAGAAGTGATCTGCTGTAAACACATGATAAAAGCTGGCAGATGGTTCGGAAATCATCTCTTTCCTCTCAGAAGTGCTGGTACACAAAAGCCTGCAGTGTAAAGGGAGGAGTTGTGTGCAGTTACAGGGATACAGTCTGGCTGGGATTCTGTGGTGGGATAGGATGTGGTTAAGACAGGCTGGGATAGCAGGGAGGGGGAAGCCGTTTTGTATATCAGAGCAGTGGGAATGCATGGAGCCCTGCCTGAAGGTGGGTAAAGAGCTGGTCAGGATTAGAGGATGGAGTAATGGAAGGGACATAGTGGTGGAGAAAGGAAAGCCAAATTCCACCGAGTTTGGTCTGGTGAAGGAGACAGACCATTAGGAAAGGCTGCTATAGGTACAGGCAGACTAAGAAGAGTGCTGCTGACAGGGACAGGAGATGTGGTGACAGAGATTGTGGAATAAGCTGTGATATGTCTTCTTCACCTTGGTCTTTACTGCTTTACTGTTTGGTGTGGATTCACAGAGGGAAAATGATGCTTAACCAGGCTGGTAGCCTTCTGGGAAGAGATGGAGTGGTTTGGTGGACAAGAGGAGAGCAGTAACTGTTGTTTATCTTGATTTTAGTAAGGCTGTCAACGCTGCCTACCATAGCATTCTCACAAACAGATGAAGTGAGGGCTAGTGAAGTGGGCAGAGGAGTGGGGCTGATAACCAACTGCCCTACTGGGCTCAAAGTGTTGTGATCACTGGCACAAAATCCAGGTGGAGGCCAGTCCCTAGGGGTGCAACCCAAGGGTTGATACTGGATCCAGTCCTGCTGAGCATCCTGTTAATGATTTGGATGGTCGCATAAAGCACACGCACAGCAAGTCTGCAGACTTGCAGTACAAAACCAGGAGAGGCTGATATACCAGATGGATGTGCTGTCAAAGGAATTTCAACAGGCTGAATATATCTTATGACCTACAGGAATCCCATCAAATTAAAAAAAAAGAGGAAATAGTCCTGTATGAAGACTGGAATAACCTCTGGCACTAGTAGATGATGGCTGTCCGGAAAGCAGCCTTGGAAGGAAGGACCTGCTCATCTTGGTACACATAAGGTTGGACAAGAGCCAACCATGTACTCTTGGGGAAAAGACTGCCATGGGCTATCAGCAAGTGTCAAGAGTTGGTCCTTTCCCCTTTGCAGCCCTGGTGAGCACCTGTGGAGTGCTGTGTTCAGCTGAGCTCCTCTGTGTGAGGAATAATGTGTGCTACTGGAACAAATCCAGAATAGGACCACAAAGATAATTACAGGGATTGGAGCATCTGTCATGTGAGGAGGGGCTGAGAAACCTGGGACTGCTCAGCCTGCAGAAGAGAAGGTTCAGAGTAAGAGATTGGCAGTGCAAATCTGTTATTCATATATAAACATTTAAGGAGTGTAGTAAAGATGACTGTGAAAGACTTCTTGCTAGTGCCCAGTGGAGGACAAGAGCAACAGATACCATTTGAAACACATGAAATTTATGAGAATGTGAACGACTGCTTTACTGTAAGGGAGATCAAGCACTGACACAGGTTGCCTAGAGAGGCTGTGGAGTCTCCATCCTTGAGGCTATTCATATCTGGCTGGAGAGCCCTGAACAACTCTGCTCTGAGCAGGCAGCTGGACTAGACAGTGCCTGGAGATCCCTTTACATCTCAGCATTTTGGGGTTTTACAGTGATCTGCAGCCACCAGTTCTCATGAGTATGTCTGAATTCTGTGAATTTAAAGAATATTTCTGAGTTTGCCTAACTACCAGGTGGTTTTTTTGGTAGTGGTTAGTATACTTGCAAGTCAGTTCTGTAGAAGCTCTTTATGCTAAGAAAACGTCTAGAGATTAAAAACGGGCACTAAAACATTTTTACTGTCTTCAGCTGATTATAATAAGTTGCAGAACTGGTAATACATGATCAAGCCCATGATATTTGAAATGTGTGTTTTGCCTGGCCTTTTTTTCTTTAGCTTTCTTATTGGACAGAATGAATATTAAATTGTGAGATACTGAAAATATGATACCTTTGTTTTATATAGAAAGTGGAAAAATACTATGCCTTTGAGATTCCGGATGTACCAGCAAAATCTGAATACCTAGAAGTTAAATATTCAGTAAGTATAATTAATCTGATAAAATACCATAACTTTTTTTAAAATCTAATTAAGTTTACAATGTGAGCAGTTGCTGTATTAAAATGGTCATTGAACATTGTAGTCTTGGCTGATGTACCCAGTGTCGATGAGGAACTTAAACTTCAGTGTGTTTTTACATTACTGTCCTGATTAAGTGGAGCCTATAGTGTGATTTCCTCAATCACTGTAAGATACTATGGACTAGGGCTTTGCTTGTGGGGAACGATGGTGATTTCAGGACTCTGTAGTTTTGTTAAGGGGCTGTCTGAATATGGTGTGTCAACCTTGAAGACTTCTGTGGGGTGAAATGACTCACTGCTCTCTGTTACTTGTTAGGCTGAATGCCCTCGGCTTCCCCAAGATCTGAAGGGACAAACATTCTCTCATGTTTTTGGAACCAACACCTCTAGTCTGGAACTTCTCTTGATGAATCAGAAGATCAAAGGACCTTGCTGGCTGGAAATAAAAAATCCACGTATGGCGGTTTGCTTGTGAAATACTTGGTTACTAGGAAGCACATATAACTATACATGGGGAAGGAAATTTAAATTGTATGGATGAATTATCATTCTGTACATTAACCTTGCAACTTATTAGTTTAATTTTCATTATCTATAACCTTGCAACTTACTGGTTTAATTTTTATTATCTAGTACAAATTGTAACTTACTCTTCTTTTTTTGGAGTGGCAGCTATCCATATGAATTTGTGCACTGTAGAGATGAAATTATAACTTTTAATGCCTGTGAGTGGGAACTGTGCAGTGCCTAGCAGCTGCTATTTGATGCCTATCTCAATGCTGTGTATACACATTACTGAACTTAGTTGGCTTGAAAATTACTCATCTTTCTGCTCTTGATAACTTAAGATTTGGGTTTTTTCTGCAAATACATATTTTAAGAGCAAACGGCTGCTAGATGGGTTTTTTTTGTGAATTAGCTTTTTATTTATTTTTCCTGACACATGGAAAAGTTTGTGGCGTGGAGCTGTTTTAGTTTTAAATCCTTTCTGCCTCGAGTGGTGTGCAACACTTACAGGTGGTCATGCTGTTTTATTTTGGCTTGGTAAGACCCCTTTATTCAATGTATGCTGCATATTCCCATGAACATAGGGATGTTGATCCTCCTAGACAAAAGCTACATCTCTCACTGCAATCTCCTTGGGGCACTTGCAGGGTAGAACTGACTGTATGAATGCTGACACCAGGGGGGTTCTCCTCTTCAGCAGCTCGCTCAGTCTCTGACAGAACTGATAACCAGTACAGATGACTGTGTAAAGCTTCCTGAAGTATGTTTTGGGTTATGCAGACCTTGATCCAAATCTTCTCTTTCTTATTTGGTGTTGAATAGTTCCTGCTGACTGAGAAGTCAGGGCCCAGGGAGTTACCAAAAATTGGGCAGGATTAGTGTGAGTCTAGGCCTGTCCCACCAGGGCAAAATATTTGAAGGATGTGCTCTGTGCAGCAATCAGAGAAGCCTTGTCTGTGGTTCCCAGAAGAATTGAGGTGGTTTGTGTTGTTTCCTCAGAGCCTTCAAATCAGCCAGTTAGCTGGTGTAAAGTGGAGGCTGTGGCCATGAAGCCTGCCTTGGTGAATGTGGTTAAAGATCTTTGTCCTCCTCCTCCTCTGGTGGTCATGTCCTTCAGCATGAAGACCATTCAGAACCCAAAGACTCACCAGAATGAGGTAAGTAATCTGCTTTCATTTTGGTTTGGTTTTGTTCTTTGGCATATACTAATTTTCCTAAGGCTTGGAGGGGCCTCCTTAAACATGTTTAAATATATTTACTGTTGAAAAGTTTATCTGCTCTGGGCTTTTCAAATAAATTTTTACTGGGTCTCAGTCTGGGCTAGAGGGCCTGCTTGCTGAGAATGTTTACTGTGATAGTGGATCCTATGCATGTTTTCAAGCCTTCTATTTTGTCTCTTGTGCCTTATAAATGAGACTGCCTCATCACAGCTGTTAATGGATCAGTATTAATTTAGCTAGAGCTAATCATAGGTTATAGGTTAAATGACCAGGCTTTTCTGCTAATAAAATTCATTTTAAAATGAGAATTTGGTCTTGATCTTAGATCACCTGCTATTATGCTGCAAGATCTTTCCTCAGAAAGGAGAGATGTAGGTGGCCACTCTCAATTGTGGACTGCAGACTACAGTGTGTACTTAGGCACTTCTTTTTAATATTAACTCTCATTAACGTTGGAAGAGATGTAGTTTGCACAAATATGATAGGATTTAATTTCAGGCTAATTTAATTGAAGAGTAATAGGTTGGCAAATTTTTCAAGCAGAATTATTCCTCCTGGTGAACTTAAATTTTTTGGTAGAAGTATGGAAAATATGTTGTTTCTGGCCAAAGTAATTGGACCTACAAAGGTGCCAACAGGACTCTGCTTGCCAAGATGCTTTAGAGCCTTTCTGCTTTGTTTTCTGTTGGGTTTTCCTGATCAGTGTGTGGGGAGGCAGGCCATCCTGCCAGCAAAGCAATCAAAAGCATCATTAAAGCTACTGGCTTCCAAACACTAAACCTCTTGGCTTCTTGGCAGTATTGACTGCTTGCTTAGGGGCAGCCCTTCCTGAATCAAGGCTTCTCTGCCCTGCTTACATCTCCTCTGCACTCCATAGGGAATCCTTTACATTGTGGGGCCTGGTCAGATTCAGAACCAGAGCTGAAAAAAGTAGAAGTTTTCCAAAGTGAATTATTTTTCCTCTCAAATTTATAATAGTTTAGGAGCAAGTACTATTTTATTTTCCTTGTGATCAATTGATAACTTTCTTCTTTTCAACTGTTTGTTGCTGGAATTAATTTAAGAAAGATCTGTTGGAGAAACAAGGGAAGAGAGATGAGAAACTAGTTTAAAAAAGATGGAAGAAATGAGTATGGATAGCAGTCATGCTTATTTGTGTTTATGAAGTTGTGTGTTCTATATCTCCTTGGTATAGGTCGTGGCACTTGCAGCTCTGGTTCATCAGAAATTTCCTTTGGATAAGGCTCCACCTCAGCCTCCTTTTCAAACACACTTCTGTGGTATGTACTCCAAACAGTTTTGAGAAGAAAAATAATGAATTCCGTGGTTTTTCTTTTTTTGTTCTTTTTTGGTTGTGGGGGGGTTATATTCATTTATTTATTTAAATTTTTATTTATTTCTGTCACTACAGCAATAATGGTTTAAAACAGATAACTGACAAAATTTCAACTCCCAGACAGGCTTTTCTCCCCATTTTTAACTTCGCTGGTTACGGACTTTTTATTGAAGACTTAATTAAAAAAATCTTAGTTTGAGATTATGCTAAGTAACCCTGCTCTATACAGTTTCTTGTAATTTTTATTGGTTTTACTCCATCTTTCTCTGCCCATTAATTTAGACCATTTATTTATTGTCACTTTAATTATTTTTCTGTTCAGCTCTTCTGAATAGAATTATTTATTAAGTTTTCTTAGTTAAAAAAGGTCTTGCAGCAGTGTCATTGCAGTAATAGCAGCTAAACCTTGAGTTTCAGACCCTGACTGGAAGTGACGAGGTGTTGAGTGCTTGTGAGAAGAGGTTTTTCAGGAGCTGTGGCCCATAGTTTTAATGTCCAATTATAAGCTCAAATATGACTGATTCAGATTGGTTAATGCTTTAGTAATTGCTTGGTTATCTTAAAGACAGTATTCACTTAAAGCTGGTGTTTCAGAATTGGAGGTTAGTTTTCTCAGCTCACTTTGTTGTGAATGGATGCTTTTGGGGAGGGGACAATTAGGAACTTGAATTTAAGCACAAATATCACTTTTTGCAGCTGTTTCCAAACCAAGTGATTGCATTTTTCCTTATGACTTCAAAGAAGCCATTAAAAAGAAGGTAATTTCATTTTGTTACCCTTCTTATTGCAGTGCCTTATAGAATATGAGCTTTATGGTGCTTTTGGTAGGTGGTGAAGAGAAATAGTCGAAGGAATGGAATGATTAATTAGTTAGTTTTCCACTCTGCAAACTTAAATCCAGGTATTTATTCTGTATTGCTTGTAAAAAAGTGGTGTGTGCTCTTTGTGATTCAGTACTGCTGTTAATTGTGCTCTTAAAATAGACGGGGTGTTAGACAGGAGAGTTGGAAAGATTTTGGAAAGAGGCGAAAATTGTGGTTAATTTTCATTATATCTGACTCTGTACTCGTAGTAAACTGGGAGAATTTGTTTTGTCTTTACTTGGAGAGTAAAGTCTGTCAAAATTTAGAAGATATCTTTTCTAAAGGGTGGTGGGAGAGTTGAAAGAATTATAAAATAACCTATTTTTGTTTTCCTTCTACTTCTGTGTCATCTTAAAGTCTGTGAGTGAAGGATGCATATGGAGATTTTCCTGGTGTGCTTGATTCTTAGGAGGCTCTTAAAATATCACTAGACACCTGCATTCAAAAGCAGAATGCGAAAAAGCTTTCCAATGTCTATGGGAGTGAGAAAAAAAATCCTTGAATTACAGAAGGAAAAGCAGAACGCTGTGGTGCTTTGTTATTGTCTTGTAACTAGTAGGGGAGAGGAGATGCTTCCATTTTAAACTTATCGGGTCATTGAAATCAGGTGCTCTCTCGCTCCTTTTAGAATGCTAAAATAGAAATTGCTGCAACAGAGAGAACACTGCTGGGATTTTTCCTTGCGAAGATTCACAAAATTGACCCAGATGTTGTTGTGGTGAGTAGTTCTGAGACTTTGAGAGTTAAATTAAAGCATATTGTCAGTTGGTCAGCTTTGTTCTTTTTCTTTTGTCCCCTTTTAGGCTTTTTAATGCTTGTCTTAGACTGCCTTATGAATTGAGTTTGCCTATGAGACAGCAGGTATATTTTGATACAAAGATGATACGGAATTTTCCCTGACAGCATTTTATACATACTATTATTTCCCATAATAGCTAAAATAGGCAGTATTTTCACAATACCTGAAACAAATTCATTTTTTTTCTTTACTCAGAAAGACAAAACAACAAAAAACTCTGATTTTCTAGAAAAATGGGAACTCTTGATATACTTAAGATTCTGTTGCAGTTCAGATGCTCATATAATTTTTGTTTGTGCTGTAAATCAAAATAATCATCTATACAAATCCATGAGATCTGAGCAAAGTTTTGCAATAAGCATTCTTATGTTTTCTACTGTTTTAGCAGCTGAGGGTTTATTATAGTTACTAATTTTCTTTTTTTCTATGTGCAATTCTGACTTTCACATTATAAAATTCTGACAATTTGAAGTTGGTCGTTAGTCTGAGGTTGATTACATACAACTTGTTAGGTTGTATATATTTACCTAACTTATGTAGGTAGATAGAAATAATTAAGTGATGGGAATGTGATGAAATGAGCAATCAATACCTGATGTTTTCAGCTCACTGCAGTTGGTATCCAGTGCTTGCCCTATGACCTAAACTTGCTAGTGGCTATGGCAAGGAATCAGAAGAAACACTGCAGCCAGTGGCTTAAAATTGAAGATGCCAAGAGCAGGGGTCTGAGAGCTTCTATTCTGAAAACAGCAGAGCTGTGTTAGTGCAGTTTAATTTGCACCTGGTTTAATTAGTGCTGTTGAAATGCTGCTCCTATATGCTGTTTTAAGGAGCTGCTTCTGTAGCATAGTCTTGCACTGCACAGAGATACCTGCTGGAGTGGACCTGCAGTTCCTGGTGACTGGCTCATGTTCCTCAGGGTAGCATTTTGCTTTCAGCTGAGGATACAGACCAGTGTCATCAATGTACACTGTTCAAAATACTGCTGGAGTGCTTTGATATGTAAATATTTCTTGCAAGGTGTTCCTACCCAGATTTAACAGCTGTTCATGTTGTAGTACCAAAGGAAAAAAGATTACAGTATTTTGATGCTAGTATTGTGACTTTCACAGATGGAGAGAAAAGGCATTACTCTTAGCTTCAGTTTATATGCTCTATGAAGAATGTTGTGGATTATTCTGGAAAGCTTTAGATCCTAATCTCTTGTATCAAAGCATAAAGCTGTACTGTGTGTGCTATGAGCCAGTTATAGAGCTGATTTTGGTATTCTACTGAACAGCTTTGTTAGTGTTAAGACTAATGAGTACTGTTGATGAACGTTCTCTTGGAAAGTGCTTTCTACAAGAGAGATAATGCCATCAATTAGCTGGAAAAAATCACAAAGGGCAAAGGAATACTGAGTGTGTGAAAGTAAGTCTTTCAATTTGCATTTGTTGTAACCTTTTTTGTTATTTTTTCTGCTTCAAGGGTCATAATATTTATGGATTTGATCTGGAAGTGCTGCTTCAAAGAATTAATTTGTGCAAAGTCCCTCACTGGTCCAAAATAGGTCGACTGAGGAGGTCTAACATGCCAAAGCTTGGGGTAATAAGATTGCTTAAGTCTTTTAAGCCCCTTTATGTTGCATGTGATTAAAAATGAATTAGTTTTTCCGAGGAATTGTAAATGTGACACTGATGTATTTTGACTGTTGGTCATGCTGAATTTCATGGGTCCCAGATCAGAAATTATGAGTGTTTATATGACTTTCACTACAGTAATAGGATAAACTGATTTTCAAGTTAGGCTAATTTAGTTTACTTATCTCAACTAGATGATAGTAATGACAGATTAATTGCAGTAGTCTTTACTGTAACGGTCTTTGTCTGCTGTAACCGTAAAAAGAGAAAAAGCAATTTGGATTGATGGGTGAATCATCCCATAGAGAGCTGCTAAGCTCATAATTCTGTAGTTCTTGTTACATATTTGTTCAGAGAACACGATGTGTGAAGCTTGGAGTATTGAAGTGTTGAACATGGCTGTGTTCTTGTCCTTCCTAGAGGCCAAGTTGTGTATTTCTGTGTGGTTCTGTGACTTTTTCATCCTGCTGTTATTTCAAAAAGCATCCTTGGAGGAAAGACAAAATCCATACCCAGGTTCTTGTTGAGGCTATTCTAATGATTGAAGGAAGAAAAAAAGCATGATAGTTTAAGAGTTAAGATATAACTAGTAGTGAAAGTTAACTATCTATTTCTTAATATCTACGGACAGTGAAAAATACCATGGCTTCCTTGAGGGCATAATTATAAGCCCTTGAGTGTTAGTGGTATTTAATAGAATATTTGACTTAACTGTCTTGACTGCTGAGTTGACTGAGTCCTATAAACATATATTGTGGGTAGATGCTTTTTGTTAATGTTTGTATATTTCATTTCACTTGGGTTTTCTCTCCTTGTGTAATATGATGAAGGGCCGAGGAGGGTTTGCTGAAAGGAATGCTGCCTGTGGTCGAATGATCTGTGATGTAGAAATTTCTGCTAAAGAACTGATTCGTTGCAAAAGTTACCATTTGTCTGAACTGGTCCATCAGATTTTGAAAACAGAGAAGGTAACAATTCTTCCAGAGGAAATTCGGAATATGTACAGGTATGTTGCTGACTGGGGCTTTTAATCCTTCTCTGGAGAGCAGAGGAGCTGGTTCCCTGACAGATAGTTTTACTTCTGCTTATTTGATTTGTCATGGGGATGCTGACTTAGCATACTGGGATTTGAGCTCATAATTGTATTTCCTGTAGAAAGAATACGATTAATATTATAAACATTTAACATAATAAAATAATTTTAACAGTTTTTATATTATAAAATAGTGTTTCAAGCTACTTGTGGTGGCTGCTGGTGGCTTATTATGTATGAAGCAAATTGATTTGTGGGAGCATTGGTGTAGACACACTAACAGGAGATGCAAGCCCAAGTTCTGGGGTGGTTTTTCAATTACAGAAGCTTGCTATAAAATTCATCATTCATGTGCTATAGATACCATGTGTTCTGTATGGCACATACGTCTAAACTCCACAGAGTACAAAGGAAATTGATTTTACTTTGCTAGGCCATGCCCCTTCTTTCCCTAGTGATTCTCCTCGCCTGCTGTTCATGCTGGAAAACACCTGGACAGATGCCAAGTTCATTCTCCAGATCATGTGTGAGCTGAATGTTCTGCCACTGGCTCTTCAGATAACAAACATCTCTGGCAATGTCATGGTACATTTTTATTACTTTTCACCCCTCTCCACTGTCCCCCCAAAACAGTTCCATGTTTTCTGTGTTTGATTTGCTGAGTTTAATTTCTAAACACTAATTTAGAATGCACGATGCAGTAAATTTTTTATTGTGACGAGTAAGAGAGTTCAATGTTCTAATCAAGTAATAATGTAAAACTTCCTTAAAAATATTACATTTTAATTTTGTGCACAGTAATGATACAGAATAGTAGTAATACTAGGTGAAGTTAATAGTCGAGGACATTGCTTAGTATATTTTTGCTGTCAATGTTTTCTGTGCTTTGCTTTGAGATCTCTTTTCACCCCCTCTTTAGTCGAGGACAATGATGGGAGGACGATCTGAACGTAACGAGTTCCTGCTGCTTCATGCCTTTCATGAGAAGGATTACATAGTGCCAGACAAACAAGTTTTCAAAAAGCCTCCACAGAAGCTGGTGGGTCCAGTTTTTATCTTCCCAAGAATTTTTATTAAAAAAAAGAAAAAAACTTTATTCCATCTTTTGTGTGTTACTCTTCTGTGAGACCACAACCCCAAACGTAACTCGAGTAGAACTTAATGGTACAGCATATGCTTAATTAAAACATTGTTTTTGTGTGGAATTGATAATGAGAGTGGGACAGTGTAACAGCTTTTCCATTGCATCACAGATCTATAAAAACTCAGTTGTTCTGTTAGTTTAAAATTAAAATAAGCTAAGTACTTGTCTGTGTGGGGAAACAGTAAAGAAGATAATCTGTGTTGTTCAATATCTGCATTTAGTTAATTTGATGAACAGTATTTCAAGAAAAATTTGTTATATGAATGAAATATCCAAAGGTATTAAAAAAAATCCTTTGTTTAATACCAGTGCAAATAATAATTATAGAAATATCCAGATGTTTGTTAGTGAACAAATAATTATTTGAGATAATATTCCTATTTCACTATATTATGCCTTTTATTTTAAAATAAGTTCAACAGCAAACTTGAAAGCAATGATTTCTGTTGATTGTATTGTTGCAACAAAGTAGCGCTGGAATTCTAAATGATTCAGAGTAGAATTGAACAACTGGGAGAAGAATTCTTTTTATAACATAACAAATACCAGAATATTCTTTAGGTCAGTAATAATGTTTTTATTTGTTTTATTCAAGCCCAGCCATTCTGTTTGCAAAAACAACATTTTAGTTGGGCAACCATACCACTTCTGGGTCATGAGTTGATTTTTTCCTTAATGTGGACTTTTACAGCCAGTTGGAAGAGGCATTCTGGTGCCATGTTGAATGATGACCATATTTTAAGGTCTTTGTAATATCTTGTTAGCAGTCTTTTCCTATTGGAGTTGGTTTAAATGCTGTTTTGACAGGTGGAGAGCTTTAGTAAGGATCATGATGAAAACACTGTATTTTGCATATATTTTAAAAGGAATTCTGCACTGGCTCCCAAAATTGTATTTGACTTGCCAAAAATAACCTCCTGTAGCGTTACAGAAATCTTAGACACTAGATAATGACTTTTTTTAAATGCCAAATGTAGGTGGATGAAGATGAAGATTTTGAAGATCAGAATAAATCAAAGATAGGGAAAAAGAAAGCAGCATATGCAGGGGGCTTAGTCTTGGATCCCAAAGTCGGTAAGATGTGGCAATTTCCTTTCTTCAATGAAATTAGAGACAGGTAGGTTATATTAATACAGAGAGATTGCAGTGGGGAATCTGTGTTTGTGGGTGTTTGGTGTTGTGGTTGTGAGGGGAATCTTGTTGCATACAACAGAATTCCCAACATTGATTGTGGCATTGCTTCTTTTGAGGAATTAGGACTGTATATTTATGTATCATTTTCTAATGGACACTAAGTTTTCTTTCAGTTTCTCCTCTCCTGTGGGGAAAACTGTACCAGTGTCCTATAGTAACACAGAAGGTATCTGTTCAACTCTGGTGAGTTAATGGGGTTGGATCGTTCCACTTCTGACAGCTTTCTGTAAAGGGCAGTGGTGCATCTCAACAGCTGCTTGAAGGGATTTAGATAATGGAAATGTGGTACAAGATATTACTGTCACTTCAATATTAATTGTGGAGTTGTATGAAGTCCTTTGGGAGACTTGAGTAATTATGACTTTTGTTTTAAACTCTGTTTTAGGTTTTTATGACAAGTTTATTTTGCTTCTCGACTTCAACAGCTTGTACCCATCGATTATTCAGGAGTTCAACATCTGCTTTACCACAGTGCAGCGACTGTCATCAGAAGCACAGAAAAGGGCAGAGGTTGTGTGCTTTAACTTATGGCTTAAATTGCACTGTTTAAAACTTCAGAGTGTTTTCTGTGAATCAGCTTCGTAAGAAACTGTTCTTTCTCACTGTTTGGTTTTTTTTTTGTCCCCTCTCACACATAAAAAGTGATTCTTGTTTAAAGATGTATCATATTAATTTCTGGGTTGGGACTCTTGAATATTTTGTCTGTGATCTTCCTTTCTGTAATACTCTTACAGAATCTTGTTAAGTTCTCTCCCATCTAATCTTGGTATCCTCATGAAACAAGATTTCTACTGAGGCTCTGTGACCCTTTTCAGCCACACGTCCTCCCTGGCAGTTGTTGAGCCCCTTTACTAATTTCATCCTAGCTTAATGGAGGCTTCCTGAAGTTAGGTTGACACAGAATTCATGCAAATATATCTGATGGAGGTAGACAAAAGTCTCATGTTTTCTACAGGAAACAATATGATTATGAGCTCAAGCCTTATTAGACATCAGGAAAATTATGTGTGTGACTTGGGAAGGGGACGTTGTGACTCTGTGAGCTGTGACACCAGCTTCACAAAAACTCATGCTGTTCAGACTATGTTAAATACACCTGAAAAACCTCATGAAGGTGCAGTTGGATGCACTGTTTTATAAGCAGCTGTGTTGGTTCTGGCTTATCCATGGCTGGAGATTCTCATTTCCTCAGCTGTGCTGAAACACTTGTTGGTGGAGCTGTGTTGTAAACTGAAGCATTGAGCTGGTCAGGTCTAAAGGTTAAACCAGAGGCTTTTGTTTTTAATTGGTATCAGCTCACAGGTTGGAATTAGTTAGTCCTGTAGCAACTGAAATATGAACACAGTAGTAGAAATGAGAAGACAAGTATGTGGAGCTCTGTCAATAAGTTCCTTCAAGTCGTCTTTGGATTTTCTCTGCTTTCTGAAGTGTGCTTCAACCTGAAGCAGCTAATTTTGATTTCTCTCGCTGTATGATGTTTAATCAGGCTTTGGTGTAATTTCTTGTTGCACTTCTCCTCAGACTGCTTTACTAAACTTGCCAACCTCACCTTCCTTTGTACATTTCTGTCACTTTCATTGTGCTTGAAATACTTTTCCATTTTTGCTGATCATCCATTTCTTCAGTCATGCTAAGGTGGTGTCCTTTCTGCTACGTTGTTTTGCTTAATCAAGAGTTGCTTGGGGTGGAGTTTTTGTTCCACTGCTGTGCTCCATTTCACTTTTGTCAGTTGCATCACTCTAAGTATCAGTTCCACAACACCAAAAGTACTTACGTGATGATAAAAAAGGGATGGATTTTTCAGCACAGAAAGAATTGCTGCATGTGTACTTTTCTTTATATTTTAGTATTTATCTATATATACTTTAGAGTGAGAATGTATGTATGCTATTTATCTGGATTTATATATATATATATATTTGTATGTACATAAATATGACACACATATTGATTTAAAAAACAAACCTTCCTGCTACTGGTCCATGCCTTCTTTGTGTTTCTCCAACAGTGAAACAGACTTAGGCCCTGTCCCCCAGCAGGGGCAAAGTAATACAGTTAAACACTGCAACAAAACCTCTCATGCTTGTTCTAAACTGTGCTTTGGGTGCTCTGCAGGAATTGGCACAAGCTGTGTGGTTTTGTTTTTTTTTTCCCCACGCTTTTCACTTAATGCATTAAAATCTAATCTTTAAGCAATAAAATGATAAGCAGTGGTGATCATTCCACAGGTCGAAGAAGAGGAAGAAATTCCAGAGCTGCCAGACCCATCTCTGGAAATGGGAATTTTGCCTAAAGAAATCAGGAAACTGGTGGAGAGAAGACGCCAAGTTAAGCAGTTAATGAAACAGCCAGATTTAAATCCTGACCTCTATTTACAGGTATGTTTTACAGAACTCCGTTGATTTTTCCCCCTCTCCCCTTAAGTGCCCTGATCAGCCTTGTAGAATAGGGATGATTAGTAGTGAGAAGTGATTGTAATGTGCTTTATTTGTAGCCCATCACTGCTGCAGATTGTATAAAAAAAACTGTGAATGTAATTGTGAGCATTAGGTTCTGTTCCCTGATGGCTGTGGTTGGATCATTTTTCTGGTTATGTTTCTTTTCAGTATGATATCAGACAGAAAGCCTTGAAACTCACTGCTAACAGCATGTATGGCTGCCTGGGATTTTCCTACAGCAGATTCTATGCCAAGCCTTTGGCTGCTTTGGTGACACATAAAGGGAGAGAGGTAAGTCATTAAATAGATTATACACACATGTAAAAAGGCTAGATTTAAGCCACCTGCTTTTTTTCCTTGAATACAAGAATGATTTTGTTCTTAAACCTGCTTTTTATTTCAGAACTCTTAAGTTTATTTTTCTTGTACTGTGAAACTATTTGGTTTCAATGGGCCAGATTGTGGTGACGACAAAAAAAAATCAAGGCTGCTTTCACATTTTCCATGAATTTCCAGTTTTACTTGATGGTGATATGCTTCAGCTTTGGATCAGCTTGCTTGTAGCCAGACTGTCCTGTGGCCTGAAATCACTCCCTGAAACACTGAAGTTTGTGATAGGGATAATTAATCACGGGAGGCAAAGGATTATGTATCAGGGCTTATTTTCAGAAACTGTTTATTCCTTAAAATAAAGTTTCTCATTAGCCTCAGATTTAATTTTAAGAATTGCACTTGACTTAATAGGCAAAACTACTCATGCTATTGATTAGGATGGTAGCTCAATACAGACCACATTTGTTTTTTCCCTGTGCGAAAAATAATCTTTAATGATCTAAAACATACTACTGATATACATTCATTGTCTTAAAACATAATGATGTTTGATATTAGTTCTTTATGAAAGAGAACACCAAGCAGGAGTCTGCAAAGGTGCCAGGAGCAGTTGTGTCAGGATGGCTGGTGTGTCTTTTGGTTGATGAGGGAGATGGGTGAGGTCACATCCCTGTTGACAGGCTCATCCTCCCTGTGATGGGAGGGCACACCCACTTCACAATTCCCAGCTCAGTTGCATGGGGATGTTTTATTTCTGGTAACTCATCTTTGTTTTTAATTATCTTCCTATCTAAACAGTTCTCCAGAGAGAGCCCCAGATTTGTTGTCTTCCCAATTTATGTAAGCATTTATGTTTAACCTTACACATCTGTTTAACTCAGAAGTAATTTCCCAGTTTGGTAACTGCAAATGTGCCATGTAGCCATGTGAATTCAGAAGTTAGTATTTCCTTTAGTAAGGTATTGCATATGTTGATGTAAGATTCAACCTCATGTTGTCTCTGAGGCTGGCATGAAAAGCATCTGAGTATCATAGCTTTATATTTTCTAATGGTGTTTTAAAAGTAATGAATTCTACATTTTGATTTTTTTTTTAATGATACCCATATGTCATATGGACCACCTGCCACAAACCTGGTGTTCTATGGATACTTAAGCTTTTGGCCTATGTTAAGATGGGAAAATACGTTTTTGTTTGCACATGTAGTTTATTCTCATTTGTCTGTAATATCAGTTATGAGATAACTATGTGAAATTCTGATGTTCATGCTTTATGTTCCAGAGTGATGGTAAAATGGAGAAATCCTAAATAGGTACTATGGAATGTGCTAGGGAGTGGTTAGAGATGGTTTCTCTTACGTTGATCTTTGGTTGGAAAGGATTTCTTACCTCTTAAATTCGGATGGTGCTGGACTTGTGCTGGCTTCTGCCAAGCCTTTGCACACATTTGAATTTTTGCCACAGAAGGTAACATGAGGACACCTTCTTTTTTTTTTATTTTATTTTTTAATGTTTTTGTTTGTTTGATTTTGGTTTTTTCTTTGGTTTCTGTTTTAAGTTGAAATGTCTAATCTGAAAAACATTACTTTCAATTTTTATATTAGTCTTTCTATTCATAGATTTCTTCTTACCACTCAGTTCTAATATAAAAGAAGTAAATGTTAAGTATCTGGAGGTTTGGGTTCTCTATGGGAAAAGGTTAATTAAAAAGTAACTATTATGGAAAATTTATGGTCTAAATTTAAATGGCCTTTTCTGATGATCTGCAGTTAATAACCTTTTTTTTTTTTTTAACTGTTGTCAAGGCCACCTGAGTAAATGCAGGTAGGCTTGTAAAAGTCTTAGTGGGAAAAATACTGTGTGGGATGAAAACTGAACTTAATATTTGCACTAACACAATTACAGTTCAATCGTAAGTCTTAGCAGAATAATTGAAAGTGGGAAATATGTATTTCATGTTGAAGTTGTTAAAGCTCATCCTAGCATTAAGTTGTAATGTAGCTGGGAATGAGTTTTGATGAGTCCTGTAAATTGGTGCTTTTCAACTGTGTGACTGACAACCTTTCCACTGAGGCTGTGGGAAGATTCATGCACCTGATGCCAAGTACTGAATACCACTTCTCCTGGACTCTTAGCTTCTCTTTGTGGTTTGGAGATGCTGGTGCAGTAAAAGCAGTGGAGCTGCCATGGGGTTCCTTATGGTGACTAAAAATACTTGTAATTACACATTGCCATTATAAAAATTTGTGTGTGACTGTATTAGTGAACTTCTGAACTATTCTAGTAGAACTTGACATGTTCACTTCATTTTGATGGCAGAAGTTATTAAATATGGTGTGGAAAGGCTATTTTTAAAAAGCCAGATCATAGAAGTAGATGATCCTTAGGGTCTCTTCCAACCCAAACCATTCTATGATTCTATGACAGTGTAATCCATAGAAGCTGAGTTGTCTTCAGTCAGCTATAGAGAAATATGGGACAGTGCCTGATTGATTGATTGATTGATTGATTTTTTTTCCATCAGCCAGGGAATAGAAATGTAGCTAGGCCTTGCACCCTGCCATCCTTCTGTCCTTCCAGGGCCTTACATCCCTGCCTTGGCCGGGCTGCTCCAGCGCTGGATCCTGTCTGTCCTTCCAGCGAACGCGTTAGGGAGGACAGTGTGACAATGGCGGGCACTGCTCGCTAGATGGCGATAGAGACCTGGAGATCCTTAGTCAATTAACACTCATTTTTGTCGAAGTGTTTAAACGTTGATTCTCGGGCTTTTCGAATAGGTCTACCTTGTTTTTCATTTGTGGGTTACCTTTAAGGGGGCATATCAGTGTGAATTTTTCCGACTTTAGGTGTCACATGTAGACTGCTAAGTTCGTGTGTGTTTTGGAAGAAAAAAAAGGAAAAATTTTGGGGTAGAAATGAGTTAAAACTATAGCTCAGACCTGTTTAACCACTTCGGCAAATGTAAATATTTTCATCTTTTGAATGTAAGAAATGCCTCAGTTCAGCAAAATAATAATAAAAAAAATCTACATTTGCAAACCATTGATCAGGAATTTGTTAGAGGGATTCCTGGACTTTCCCCTCCACCCCCTCCATGTTACTAAGCCTTTGCCTGGACATTACTCTCGTTGTAACTATAGCAGTTGCTTGCATGGAAAAGTAATAGGAAAATATTTAATATATTTTTAGCTGTCCTTTAATGTAATTTAACAACTGGAAACAAGATGAGTCGGAGCTGTACAAGCAGCCAGCTCTGCAGCAGCAGGCAGTGTGGGGTCATGCCGTTCTCGCCTCTTTAAAGGACAAGCCTTTTGATGAAGTGTCAGTTGTCTGGTTTCCTAAATGCAGGATGCCGTTTGCTGCAGCATTCTCCTACAGGACAGCAAAGTTGTTGAGAGAATTTAACTGTAGGCAGCTTGCTTGCTAATGGCTTTCACTCAATGCTGAGGCCTTTTTCAGGTACTTGTTCTTTTCTGTGTTGTTTTTTTCTGTTGCATATTTTTTGCCCAAACAAACTTGCCTTTGAAAGGAAAACAACACATTTGCTGTTTTCAGCAGGGCTGACAGGTAGACCTAGTGTTCAAATGTGCAAAATAAAAGGGGGAAAGAGGCAATTGGGTTAATTCCAACTTTCTCGTTCAGATCCTTTAGATACATTCTCAATTAATAATTAGTTTAAGGCCCTGGCAGTCAAAAGGAAAGAATAAAAGCATGTTATTGCTGCAGTCTGAGAAAAGAATGGATGAGGGAGGAGAAAAATGAAGTGGAGAAAGATGAGCTCATTTAAAAAAATTAAAGGTAGGTAAGCAGGTTAATGGCTGTCTACTGTAATTATGATCTGTAAAGAAATCCAGGCATTTCTTTTTTTTTTTTTTTAAAGTCTTGTTCATCCAGAGAAAATGATCATCAGCTGCTTTCTCTTGATTGCACCTAAAGCATTGGTTATACAGTCTGCAAGAGTTGTCACGTGAATGGGGCAATTGACAGACTCCTGGTTTCTTCCATGATATACTGTGGGAGAAAGAGGATTGCTGAAAGAGGAAAAGGAGCCTCCTAATGTCTTGTTATCAGCATGCCATCTATATTTAAACAGGGAATGCAACGTCAATATAACAGTTTTGGAAGACCTGAAACTTGATGGCAGAAGGCTAGGCAAAGAGTTTCTAACTGCTTTTAAATATAAAAATGGCAACCCAAAATCTTGGGAGACATAGTGCTAAAAAGTTGCATTGTCCCAAAATGGGAAGTGTTGAGGTTTAATGATTTGCCACTGTTGTTAAATTTATCATTGTGTGTGTGACTGTGAGCCTGTGAAAAAGCTCTTTATGTTAACCCTGCATGCCGATATCCAAAACGAGTCAGAGTACACAAGGAGAGGCTGTGTACAATCTGGAAATGGGAACTGAGTATCAAGTAGTGGAAAAATTATGTAGCATCTTCACATATGTTGAAATATTGGTAGTTAAGTGCAGGAGATGACATCTGATCTAATACAGACTTTAGCATCTCCAAGGAGAGGAAATGAAACATTTCAATTAAGAAGAATGGCCAGAATATTTTAGGGGAGGAGGAATTTAGTGAGAAGGGAAAAAAGTATATTTTATTTTATTTTATTTTGGATGGCATGTTGGTATTTCTTTTTCCTTCTGGACAGAAAGGTTTTATTTAATGGGTATTCACCAAGAAATGTTTAGGAAGATTGATCAGATTCAGATTGATTGTACAGCAAGTCAGATGAATAGAGAGACTTTTTTTTTTTTTTACTGCTTATTTTAAGATTGTGCTATTACAAGAGGTATGGTGCCTCTCACTTCCTGACTGCTGATTTCTGTGGATGGGTTATAGCAATTGCATGGCCCCATGGTGTGTTGGATCAGCCTGGTGATCCGAGTTGAAAACTAACTCCAGAGGAAAACCAAATTGATTTCAGTTGGATCAATCGCTCAGTGACTCACTGCA